CTGGTGCTTTATTTGTAATACCAATTCGCCCTTACGGATTCCCTAAAAATGCTATGTCGATTCATAGCTGCCGTAACCGGGAAGTCCTGACGCCGGAAGGCCAACCGCTGTCATCTGCATGGCAGGTGCCTGCATGGCAGTGGAGAATGGGTCGGGCTATATCGCAGTTAGCTAACAATTCGTGTTGGTCGGCTACCGTCCTCCATGGCGCAGTTGCATAAGCTGCGGGCTAGTTGGCGCAAGCAACTAGCAGTCATGGGTTCGATCCTCCGTAGAGGACCGAAGGATGCGCATCACTGACGAGCCCCAATAGGGTGAAACGGCCGTCTGGTGCTATTCCGGATAGGTAGTTGACTTAGCTGAATTGTCGGCTGATTGCGACGAACAAAAATACCTGTGTTGTTAACGGTTTTTTGGGCAACTGGGTCATCGCATTCTTCTTTTCAAACTTCGGACATGCGGAATCGGCAATCTTCCCCTGGGTTGGATACGTACCTTACTTCTCCAACTTCACCTAAATGCGATGGCTCACCTCGATTTGTTTTATCTGGTAAAATGCATTGTGGAATTCCATAAAGCCTGGTACTGGAACCACATCAATTGCCAGTTTCCATAAACCATCTCACAAGAGCGATCATCTCATATTTTCCACTATTTAGTGATAACCCCAATATACAAATCACTATCAGGAGACCAGATGACCACAAGATTCCCTCAAAATGGCTTGTTTGTCTTCAACTCGAAACGTGCTCCAGTTTGAAGTAACCAAGTGCAGTGCTGGGTATCTGTAACCAAATAAACTATGAGTACCTATCAAAGGGCATAGTACGCTTCAGATTAACGCCAGCTTGGATGGAAAAAGCGATTTGGTGATGCACTGCTCCGTTTGCGTTACAAGATGTAACCCCAATGCATCGAGCCACAATGTAACTTCATCCAGCAGAATGTACAGATGAACCCTGCGCTGAAACCACCGGTACGCATAAGTCCTCTGACAAGTTTATCTTTGTTTATTCTCTTTCCATCCAAGGGGCCTGTGAAGCGTTTGCATTTTCACTCACAATAAACTCGTGATTCCACTTTACTCCTATGAGAGACACATCAGCCCAATGTTCCAGGTTACTCTGAGGAAAGTGCGTCCTATGTAATGCGCTTTGATCTCTAAAGACATTAGACACAGCTACAATTTCGTAAGCGTGCTACGATTATTCAGCTTAAATTAACAATTTCACTTTATTTGCTCAAGAAATGGTGAAGCTGTGATGTTCAATGTTATGACATTCTGAAGAATCAGAAACTGAGACGGCACATTTACTACAGCAATGTGGGCTAATCCCTTTTTGGACGAGGAAAAGTGCAGCCTTCTCTTGGGGATAGCATTTCCGTCTATCTGTAAGTTAAAAAGTAAGTTGGATAGGTGATCACTCAATCGCATTTTAGCTAATAGCCATCAAGCTGTTGTGCTCTGGTATAGCACAGCGCTAAACTGACACGATTCTGCTACACAGCGGGACCTTGTATTTGTGATGGTTGCGCAATTTTCTCCTTGTCAAGATAAGAGTGTTTCAAACGGCTGCCAACGAATACTGAACGCGAGTAAATGAGCTCAGACAAATGGCAAGAAACAGCCATTTGAAGTACGCATCCGGAAAATAGTTAGTAAAATTTATGTATGTTATAAAATGACTTATTGTTCCTTAATAATGGGTTTTGGATCGTTGCCAAGTCCTCAGTTTGATACTTTGGGGTCTACTTCGACAGAATCCAGTAATAATAAGTCCAGTTTCTGTTTATTCTGAGGTCCCTAATACTCAGCACCCGGCCCCCGATTAACAAATGTGAAACTGAGGTAAATAAGCAGATTGCAAATGGGAACACTTGCTTTGCACCGGTTGTGTTCAAGAACTCAAAAGACCACAACTGAGATTTAAATAAAACAATCATGACAAACACTAGTGGATTAGGAAAAATTAGGAAAGACGGTAGTGACATGATGCCGATATATAGTGTTTGCGAGGGTTTTCCTGCTATGTTTCAGCATACCAAATACATAAATAAATTGTTTATTCTCGACAACGCGAGGCACGCCTTTACAAGCATGACCATGGCAAAATGAAACGTACTGAGCCGGAAATGTTCAAAAATACAACGCGTTTGCCATAACAGTGAATCTATGTGTGATTGAATATGAGCAGTTTATTTGTGGATGTGTGTAGCTTTTGCTTGTAAATGTTTCGCTGCGCTTTTGACTGTTTTATAGTGTCGGTAATGTGAGAATAGGCGATTAATTTTCCTGAACTGGATATGCTTATCCGGATACTCACGGGACAGTGAGTTTAGATTATGGTGAGTCACAACCGCCACGTCGCATTGTTGATAAAACGACTTTGTGGCTTCTATATGGAGAACACTTGCCAGTCGAAAACCCACCAGGTCCTGGAATACTGCCTCCGAACAATTTGCTGCAAATGAGTAAATCTGAATCATCCAGCTGGCAGCACGAGGAGCTTGTTCCGCTAGACAATCGATATGTATTGTTCTAGACATTGATTTTTTGAAAAACTAATATTCTTCCGAACACTTCTGGACCCAGTATATCATTCAAAGGGAATGGGACTGTAGAAGTTGCGCTTTTCTAACCGTCCTTATACTGGCATGTAATATAGAAAAATTACACTATAGTAAGTCTTCAAACCTGTATAGTGAGATCGACCGGACACTAAAGTACTTACGGTGCTTTCTTGTTAACAGACTGTCACGACTGTCGCGAACATCTGGATTTGGTCTTATTGTCGTTCTGTCGATCGCGCGGGTTACGCACTCTATTCTACAAATTTCTGTTTATACGAATGGGCACAGGCACGAGCCGAAGTAGGAAATGCCGTTTGGTCTACAAGTTACTGTAATCTGACAGGTGAGCACAGGTATGGAGAAATGTAGAGATGGAAACACTAGTAAGCAGTTAAGCGTGTGCGTACGTGTCTGCCTGGGGTTATGTACACCCAGGCAGTGGGTGTCTAGACAAGCGCCCATGGCGTGGATGAACGTATAGAGTGAATAGGCAACAGTTTCCGCACTATATTATTGGTGATCCAATTTTTTTGATAGCTCAGCAAATCGAAGTCAGAGCGATAACATCTTTGTCCGGCCCGGTACAGGGGAGATTCCAGCAAGGTTTTGTACCGGGGCGTCACCTGAACTTAGTCCGCACTAACGATCTAGTGCGAGTTTTCACATCAAGGTTTTTATACCATGTGGAATATATTAGCGTTTAATGAGCAATTAAAGGATTTGGTGACCAGGAGGTCTCCACCGCGATTCTGTAAAGTCATTGGCGAGGAATGCGTTGCCATTTAACGCGGACACATGCGAGTTGTTTACATGCACCACCATTAGGTCTACATTCACAGGTTTCGAGTGCACTAATTAAAGATCACCTCCCAAGAACGTGACCTCAGTATGCTCGGGCTCAGTTGATCCGGACAGTTTGAGTCCGCTCCAAAAAGTGGTAACCGGCAAGTCGGTATCTTGCAGAGTGCACTCGGGAGGTAGGATTTATTCATCTTCTACTGGTACTCAATGCCTACGCGAACCCGACGTCGAATGTACTATTATTGTAGCGAGAACGACACGGTAGGGGAGCACGCTGTTTATTGCACGCTGAGAGGTTCTCACACATGTCCCACGCACACACACAAATATAGCCGCGTTTCCCACTTACGACGCACCACTTTCCGCCGAGTGAAGTGATGTCCACTAAGCGCCATTAGGCTGATCCGACGTGGACATTGAATGTGCTGTTTTCCGCCCACATTTCTACTCCCTTGCGTCGCAGCCTATCCAGACTGGATTCGTACCAAAGCTCTCGACTTGCTTGCTCGGGGCTGTGTTGCTCTGGCCGGGCCGATTCCTGGGGCCGTAGATAACGGCATATCTCTTGGGAAAATCGGGCTCCCTTTCATGTCGCCTCTTGTTCTTCTCGGCGTGGCCGCGGTATCATTTGTCGCTGACGACCCATTCCCGGGTTGCATCGTAGGCCACGAGCTGGGTTGACGATTCCCGTTCCCAGTCTCCGCGTTAGTCCCGATCTCCTGCTGCTTCCAGGGCATTTCCGTGTGAACTGAGATCCGCGCTCCTACATTATGACCAAGGAGTAACATCCTAGAATTGGAGTCACCACTTCAAGCAATCAGAAATATCAAGTGCGCTACATTTCTTAACAACAAAGGCTGTTGAAACTCGGGTTGTTTACTGTATTTTACCGGAGGTTGGGTCGAGATTTCATAATGACATGCCACATAGAGTGACCCCAGGCAGAGGTATTGTCAACTCTTAAAGCCCAGCAAAAACACCAATCTGAGAGGTAATCACTTGAAAGCAAGTAAGAATTACAGTTACAAAAGTTCGAAAAATGACTTCTCGCTTCGGGTCTGTCCAACCTGCAACGTTCTTTCGGCCAGTTGTTAGTGCCCGGACTATAATCATCTTTAAAGTGTTTGGGTATCGCGCTCGTCTCGCCTGCGCTTTACTACGTGAACGCGGTGCTCTGCATCGAAGTACAATGGCTTCGTTAATTAGGGATTGCAATCCACAATAATGAACGGAAGTATTGCGAGCGGATGAGCAGTTCAACAGTTTTCTATAAAATCTTAGTCATAATGAGTTAGTGCACCAATTCGCATGCTGCTATCGCCTTTCCACAACTGTGTTTCTAATCTATCATTGTCTTGTCGACTTGCTGATGCATGTTTCAGTTCGTTCACGTGTATAACCTTAATTTTTGCAAGTCTCTCTCGGACGAGCACACGGGGATTGGCAAGCATATGCCTTTTAATCGGTCATAAAGCTTTCTTCATACAAACAGGTCACCAGATACAGAAAGCGTCGCAGATGCCCTAAAGGAGTTAACTCGATGATTTTATACACAACAAATGTATGTCGAATGATAAATATGTCCAATGAAATCGTGTGCCCCATTTCCACTCGTTTTACATTTGTAGAAACGTGGATTTCAAGGAATTTTTAGCCTTCGTTGAAGGTCGGTTGGCCAAAGCATACGCGGCTGCAAACGAAATAGACCAAGCAGCCGCCGCGGAGGAGCTAAAGCGAAAAATTGCCGAGACAAGTCCTGTAGCGCACGGTGCAACGGTAAGTGTACAGTTTAAAGCGCAATACTAAACGTAGACTGCCGTAGACAGTACAAACAATACTTTAGCTTTGGTCGCTAAACAACAAAAGAATGGCGACCGGCTGACAGATAGGGAGAGGTGGCTGTAGAGATGGCTATGAAGCCCTTTAGGGTTATTGTGTTTGGCGATACATTATAAGCCCTACGTGCAGTCAACTAAAACTGAGCTGTAGGAGTGAGGTGAGCTGGTGTGCTACTGGGCATCCAGTGGGGTTGGCGAAAGAGTGCGCTACAGCATGAGGGGATTAGCAAAAAGTATATTTCCAAACGTTCTGTTTTGTTGCACGGGGTCTAGATCGTAAAATAAAGGTCGGAAGACTAACAAATATGAAGCACAAATTCACTAATCGACAGTGGACCTAGAGAAAAAGTCAGCGGTAGGATATAGTAAGTTTAATTGAATCCAGACCGACATTGCTCCTAATGTAACTCAAACCCCGTAACTTTCTAACAGGAAATAGTTGCCAGAGGCAGAACACAACCACATCGGATGATCGAATGCTGACCCTGTTACTTGCGATTAAAGGAAATTGGAGTATCAGTCATTCTATAACGCGGCTAGCAACCAGTTATGATAATTCGCCGACTTCGATAACTGTGGAGCGAGGGATTAACACTGAAAGGACCCCTCCGCCGCCTTAGCTAGAATGCCCGAGACCGATCCAAATGACCGTATTACTGTAGTTATAAATTAGCTGAAATAACCACTGAATTGAACTTTAATTTTTTCAGTGGCCAAAATAATGGTGATTACTTATTCAGACTAACACTTGAAGCAAGGGATAATTCTCGCAATTGGTTCACAAACTATTCTTTAACTTACAGAGTACTTGTGCTTTGACTTTTGTTGATGTTTGATGTCAGAATGTGCTTAGTTTCATTTTGTATAAATAACTGAAATTAAAAAACCTACCGCAGTGCTTCAAACTCGTTGGCATTTCCCTTCTGTTAGCTCGAATAATTTCCACCATAATTGTATTTTTCTTGGAGACTATTAATCTCAAGCTTGCAGATATAAAATTGTCCCATGTAGCCTTTTCCAAAGACTGCCAACATAAGGCTAATGAGAGATCAGCTGCTCTCTTCTGCCAGAATGCAAAATTTGACATCAAATCTATCGGGTTTGTTGGCCAGGTACTGAAGAAAACGACAGTGGTTTTTGATGGGAAACACTTGCTTGTCGACCGTGATGACTTGCGCTAGCATCTATCACTGAAGAGAGTTACGAATAAGTACATTCCAGAATTCAGGTATCAAGCCAAACATGCTAATATGAAGCCTTTTACCTCTGGGAATTCGCATATTAAAACGAAGGAACCTCCTTATTTCCTTGAATCTGTCCAGAATCCCTCGGACCACAACATACTCAATGGCACGTTCTGCGCGCCCATAAATGCACTGATGTAAACAAGGCAAATGAAAGCATGCAGCTCAGGAACACAGTCAACTGTCACCTAGGACTTGTGGCCTCAGCTTCATTACATCTTTGATGTTTCTGCATCAGACACATTTATTGTGTCGAGCATTCGAGAGCTCAACATATTTAACACAGTTCATGGCGCATGCAGTTCCTTCTGATCTTGCCTTGTGAACATTTTGTGCTGCCATTCTGGTACTGTTTTGGAACTCTAGAAGACGCAGAAACGGCTGATAGACTTTCATGGTTTTCGCCGTCATTACTGCCCTTATGAAGATTATCAGTAGGAAATTGGACCATCAAAGATGCTGTGTTCTTTTGCGACATGGAAAAGATCATCAATATCCTATTCATTCTAGTCTCCAAACTCGTCATAATCGAGAGCTGCAAGTTCTCGTGAAGCCACATCAGCTGTTCTCCTCCTGCGAGCTATAGATAGTAAAATTTTGTATTGTTGTAAATAAAACTGACGTCTGGATTAGAAAACTTAAACTGAATGCGGTCATTGTGACAGCCTACAGGCTTTATGGGTACCTCGAGTACAAGTATTATTTTTCGCTATAACTATAACAGATATCAAGGTAAAGCTTCCCAGTTGCGAAGTACGAAAAATAATATTAAAATTCACAAATTATCGTTAAAAGGTTTTTAATAATATCGAAACTATTCACATATGACAACGCTGAGCGGTCATAATAATCGCTCTAGGTGCCCTAGTGTTAAATTACCACTTTGCCATAAGCTCGACGTTGAAGAATCAGGGCAGGATATCTCCGTGAGCGGTGGCTATCTGATAAATCCTAGTTTGGAGGCCTGATCAAAAACATTGCTGTCTATAAAAATAAAGAAAGAAAGAAAATTTCTAGATATACTCAGAAATGGTATACAGCCCTATAAGCTGGATCGATCACTTGTACACCGAATAGCCTGTATAGTTTATGCGACATCTATTTAAAATAGTGAAATATATTTAAATAAAAGCATTTTCCCTCGAGTCCTAGACCCAATCACTTAATTTATAGAATGTATTGATATTTGTATCATCATTTTCTAATTTGTGAGGCTGATGGGTAGACAAGAATAAAAAGGAGATACTAGGTTACACGGGCACATGATTTGATGCGTTGGGTAATGATATAGAGTGGGCAAGAGGGTTGTAAGCAATTAGCTGTTCATATGTTTTTATATCGGTTTTCGTAAATGTTTCTGGAGATTGTTGGGAGCCAAAATTCTTCAACACATTTGTTATAGCGCGGAAATTCTGTAGGGAAATATCGAAATGTGACATGATTTGCACTCATGTACATCTGTAGGGGTAGTATATTCCACAGATCGGTGCATCACACTAAGAAGGAATTCGACGGTGATTTATGATTTGCAAGCTTTGTGGGTAGCAAGTAGCCGCTATTTCGTGTGGTGCAGATTTTAGTCTTCTCTTGCCGTTCAAGTGCGGTATTGCCTGCGTACATTCGTTTGTTAATAATGTTTTGGAAGATAAGGAGCCTGTTCTTTAAGTATCTTAGCCGAAGAGGATGCATTTGGAGTTGTCGACAGCGATCAAAATAAATCAGGTTTGAGCAGCGCCCCATGACCAGCTTGTCAATTGATCGTTGGACATTTTCCAGGGCCGTGCTGTCTTCCTTTCTCAATTGACTGTTAACGATAGCACCGTATTCATGTGTCGGTCGTAGTATTATCTTGAGTGACTCAAGTCGTGCTTCATGCATGGAGAAAATGCTGGTGATTTATCCACATAGCTGTCTTGCTTTGCAACGTGATAAAGCATATGTTCGGAGCAACTGAAAGTTGGAGTCCCTTACGGAATCAGACATTTGGATCACGTTTCCAACAAGTGTGATAGAGCCTTCCTGAATGCGGCCTCTGTATCCATGTACTTGGGATTTCCTTACGCAGAACTTCATTAGTAACCGTCCACAAACTATTATTTATTGCGGATTTGTCTTCACAGATGCTTCCCAGACACAGTTGTATTTGGTCTGCATGAAATGAGTAAACCAGTTTGACGCCAGTTGCAAACAGAAATCGGTGTCCGTGTTTGATCGTGTCGCATATGCTGGTTATGTAGGCTAGGAAAAGTAATGATCAGAGCACACTTCCCTGGAAGACGTTGCTGGTTATTTGTTTTGGCTTAGAGTATTGTTGACTGATTCGAACTACCTGGGTTCGATGTCTAGTTGTGAGTCGAATCAACTTAGCATTAAACCACGCTTAACCTGAAGTTAGATAGGATATTTGATTCGTATGGGGCGAAAAAGTAGATGGGCTAATTCGCAAACCAATAAGCTCAAACAATTTATAAGATCATGAGTTATGAAGACATAAAGTCGGTAAGCAGAAAGGCCGCCTTATCCCAAACTAGCGCGGAAGTCTATGGCGAGTTATAACTTGGTGCAAAGTTAAAGGAAGGCGACCGTACCTGTTGTATAAAAATCCCGTGTATAAAGAGAATCAGAGATCAACGAGAACGCTTAAGATAAATCACATGTGACGCCGCCCCAAGAAGAAGTAACATTTGTAGATGGGCTTGTCTAACGGGGCATATGGTGAACTTTCGCAAACATAGCGGGAACAGGAGGTTGGAACAATGCTCAAGATCGTGGCATCGCTTTAACCAGATTCGTAATGTATCATGTGTGCTAAATAGTCCGGGAACCAAACTTTAGACACACACGTATGTTCAGCAGACTAAACTGGGTTACTCTCCAAAACCCTAGGTCTGGCGCATGATCATGCTAATCTGGATGTGGTTCTGCTTTATTTGTTTGTTACCATCACATGTAACAAAAAAGCCCCACCTTGTCCGGTAACGCCGATATTAAGTCAAAGATCCGTAATGCGTCCGCAGCCATCTGCTTCATCGCACATGGATGCGTCACATGCATACAACTTAATGAAGTGCAGAGTCAGCTAAATGAACGTTGTAGAACGTTAATTTACTGTCGGTAAGTATATTCCTTACTGGATTCCGTTGTTAGTAGAGAAGAAAATTCAATTATTTATCTATGGAATGAGGATCAATTTACGTCGGAGCAAGTGTCTAGTGAATAAACGTAAAAGATCGAATAGATGAAAGCCACTGAGTTTACGACCAAGACACCACGGGTGTGGAAAAGCACGAGACCACTAGTTAGCAAAACGGTAAGCAATAAAGGAACAAGGAAAATTTCCCACACCTGTTTAAGGTAATAGTGCATGTCGCGCGGAGTGACCCAGGCAGGCACAGTAACGGTAAACAATGCGATGCCGGTTAGAATGTGGGATGGTTCTACTTCAGAAAACAAGCTGATATTGCAATACAGTTTATTAGCAAGCAAAAACCAACGAGCCTCTTCACTGCCCACTCAATGCCCCAGAGAAATGGAAAGGAGACCTCGTGAACATCGAGGTTCAAACAGGACTGATCATTGAACCTCGTCGGTTCGCAGTGACCCACAAAGTGACGCAGACGGCAACTCCAAAGTGATACACCCTGCTCCGGCTGAGGATCTGATACCCCGAAATTTCCATGGATGAATGAGACTT